AAAGGGAGAAGCTTAAAAGTCGTACTAAGTCGAGTTTGATCAATTTATTAGACTTATTCATTTATTAATTATTTAATTAATTAAATTAGCAATTTCCTTTTGTCATTAATTAATTTATTTAACTCATTCACAAGTCAAACAAACGGTTAGGAGAAACACATATAAGATATGCACAACAAATAACGCAAAAGTAGTCATATAGTAACAATATGATGCAATGAGTTTGCAACCTAACCATGGCTCTAGTTCTCTAAAGTTCAGGATATGGGTTAGTAAAAAAGGGTCCATGGTTATGAGTCCATATGCACCGCAAGGAATCCATACCTTTGGAAGGGTTGGCGCATGTGGATGGGACCCCATGAGTTAAACTCGCTTCCATGGTTTGGTGAATTCAACAAACTCGGATATACCCTTCGTTGCCAGGAGCGTTCGATTGGGTAGATGAGCGTGAATTCCCAAAGGGTTATGGTCATATGTAAACCACATATTGGTTTCAGGAAAAAGGAAAAAACTCAATCAGGAAGTAAAACCGAGCAAACAATACTAGAAAACTAGTCGAAACAAGAAGGTAGATTTCTGGCTCACTATTGGAAGAATTCAGCGCGAGAAAATAGCATCGTTGCTAGATTACAAGAATTTTGCCAGGCGACAGCGCCATAGTTTGGCGCTGACGCTATTTTAAGTGTTAATTCCTACATGCCTCGGCAGCTTTCTATTCTTGAATTTTCCATTTATTTCGTAGCGTTAATTCGACTTTAGTTGTGAAAGATATTTCCCGAATTTCCTACATGTAAATATCCTATGTTTTTCATGCATTACGGATGGTATTTCCAATGCAAAACCTTATTTATGCTTATTCTAATAATGTTAATCAAAATTACACACATAAAATACTTAGAACTTTTCGAGTCTCATCCACTCAGTCTAAATTATTGCCAAAATAAATTTTAGGAATTAAAATAGAAATCCTCCCAGTCGAGTCGCCAAAAAACTGTAGGGAATATTTCAAACATCCTACACTTGAGCCCCATTATAATCATACACTTAAGCATGGTGGCGTCCAAAGGGAAGGAAGCTAGAGTAAAAGAGTCGCCAACAAGTTTAAGGAACTTGTAAACCGTTCACAGGGTGAAGGTTACACCCCTTAACGATCCAGGAGATCGTTAACTCCAATAGGTCTGGAACCATGACTGGAAGTTTGGGGATGAAGGTACAAATCCAACTAAAAGAGATTGAACTTGCCCTAAAAATAGGCCTCTACTTTATTATTCTCGTATTCATGTGCGCTTTCTGACTAACATACAATCAATATGTTTACCCTAAACGTGTTTATCTATGTTGGTTGATTATTAATGCACAAACAAATTTATTATTGGCGATCACTTATATTATAATCATATTAACCTAAACAAGATTATTAATTATCTTATTAAGCGTGATAACAAGTACAAATTCCCTTTAAACATTCATAAAAGGTGTGATCAAGCAATATAATAATAAAATATATCATATCAAGCAACATAATAATAATCATCAATCTCAAGGCATAATAATATAAGCAAGATCCTAGGCATGATACGAACAAGATTAATAACAAACCCTAGCATGTCACTAAACATTAAAGGTCAATTAGCCCTAACATGATACTAACATGATATTAGGAAAGAAATAGGAAGCATCATAATAAACATACTTGATATTATATATTTTAGTCATTACCCTAAACATGATACTAGAAATCAATAAAACATCCTAACATGATACTAGGAATCAACAAAATAATCTAAGCATGATTTTTATATCAAAAGAGCAATAAAACAATTAAAATACTTACTTCGATGCCTCGTACCTTTTTATAATAACAAAATACACACGTTAGTAACTTCAAGGAAAATAATAAACAAACAATTAAATTAAATAATTGAAATAGGGATTTGGGACCAAACCCTCAGAAATATCTAACCTTTCACGTCTAGGGCAAAGGCAACTTCGAACTTGGCTAGGTGTGTCTAGTGCTAATGAGTGAGGAATATTGAGAGATGGAATGTTTAGAAAAACAAGAGAGAGAGAAAGCTTCTAGCATTTAGAGATAGAAAGAATAGAATTAGAGAATTCTGGGTTATTTGAAAACAGGGAAATACAACCCCTTGTAGACATCTACTTTTGGCCTCCTGTCCTGATAGGAAGTTCAATAACGATAAATAAAACCATCTTCGTGTTGGATCAAAGTGAAGAATACTTATGGAGAACTAGTTATGACACAAAACACAAAAGACTAACCCAAATTAAAGATAAAAGCCAAAACAAAGGTCCAATAAATAAAACCCGATCATAATTAGGCTTAAGTCTGTGCTTAAAACCCAATAATGACGGATTTAGGAGCGCCTAGGTTAAATCTTAGTGCTGCCGCAGGAAAAGCTGCGCGCACCTCAAACAGTCGCGCTAGGCTGCAGCGCTCAACTAATTCAGTTGCGCGCGACACCCAACGCAACCTCCAGAGTTGCGCTGCGGAAGATTCAGAATTATACGGAAAATATAAAATCGAATCTTATAATAAAGTCGCGTGCAAGACAATTAGTTGTGCTGCCCATAGCAGCGCAACCTAATCACTTGCGATGGGATGCCGCGCGCAACTCATCCTGTTGCGCGCGACACCTGTTTTGGCAGAATGCTCATAACCCTATACCTAATCATTCCCTATAAATAAGAGCTTAAACCGAGGCTTAAGGAGACGGAAAAATAACCTAAAACTCTGGCGAAATACTTGTGAACTTGTGCAACCTAGCCCCTCTTGTCCTAAACACTCACCCCTTTTGATATTTTGTTACTATGGTGGAGGTTCCTCAACAAGAAGGAGTCCATAAGTATTCTAAATCGAGATCTAGCAAAGAGAAGTGGTAAATTCCCAAGCACTTAGTTAAATCACATTTATTTTCTTATTTTAAAGAACCTTAATCAATTAATTAGTGTTGTTTGATCACCTTTAAAATAATTATTAATCAATTCCACATAGTATCTTGCGTTAAATAAAGATTAGAATTGAATTAAATAATTGTTGGTTGATCACTTAAGCCAAGGAGAATATTGTTTATTTTCTTGTCCTTTTCACAAATTTGATTAAATAAAGAATAATGACATTACGATGTAATTCCTATGTGAATTAATATTTGTAAATAAAATCAACTAACATATTTAAGGTATCGCGTTGCATATATAGTTTGGTGATGAAATTGTAAAAAAAGGAAGAGCTAGTAGAGGTCGCACTAAGGCTAGGATAACGATTCCCCTCTAAAAGGAACGTTATTTTAGTACCCTCGCTCCCAAACTCATTTCTGGTTTATAGACCAATTTGGGTATGGGTAAACATATGATTCGCGCTAATTATTCCATGAACTCCACATGGAAGAAAGGCATGAACGAGGTTTATGAGTTTTTCCTAAAGCTCATTGGCGACTCCCTACTTGTTTCTTACAAAAAAGCGTAATGATAGAATCAATTCTAATTCAAGGTCCCCCAAACAGTCAGGAATTCAAATCCTATTACACCCTTACAAGTGTAAAGTCCTAGGCTTTTAAAGGGCCATGGGCATTTAAGGAGAGGACCCCTTACGATGGGAACCCCCTCCTTACACCCCCTATTTATAGAAAAAACGGCACAGGGTCAAAGAAAATCATATTCTGAATAAAATACCTCATGTCGCCTACGATAGGAGTCAGCGCCAAACGACAAGCTCCTCGCCAGACGACAAAGGTCAGCGCCAGGCGATGAAGGTATAATAATTAATATGCCCTCCTCTAGATCATTGGGCCACCTTTAAAATCATTGGGCCTAATTTAATCTAATCCATAACTTCTTCGCTATTCATCGGAATTGGGCTTATAATATATCATTGGACAGCTCTTTTCGAGCCCAATCCAACTACGCTATTATTGGACCCTTATCATGGACCAAACCAAATTGGACTTGCTATTTTTCATGAATAGGGTAAAAAGAAATATTTTTGAAATTAAAAAGAGAAATATTTTAATATAAATATCCTCATCACTAGAATTTCCACACTTTCACTTTGTTTGATAATCAAATGACATGAAAGATATTCATCATTAGGTTTGGTTTTGGGGAGACACATTTGGGTGTCTACAAGGGGAACTCCGCCTCAAGGTCTAGCTCTAAGGATAGCAATGATGCTCCTCTATCCCCGCTTGAGGATAGTGAGGTTGAGGAGAGGAAAAAATGGGAAAAGAAGGCAGCCCCCTTCAAGTAGACATCGAATATTGCGTTTTGACAAGCGAGTGTCAAGGACTTTATTCACGTGTTAGGCTACGAAAGCCAAAACACCTACCTTTTTATCATATTTTTAACTTGTTAAAATCATGCTAAATTTTAATGACATATCGAGGGACTTTATATCAAGGATGCTACGATTGAGAGGATGTTATCCCCTTTAATCCTTTTTACACCGATTTCTTCTCATGACTTGACATCACCAAGGACAACCATTACTTGTAAAAGCGTTCTACATTTGCAAAGGATCAATTTAGATTCTTTAGCGTGTTAAGACTAGAAAATGGTTTTTCTAGCCTTAATAGCTACTTATCTGAACATTTAGTGAATCAAGGATAGTTTCGACATTCTTAAACTCTACTGAAATATTCCTTATTTTTATGGAACTTCGCATAATGAGTCTCGAATTTATTTCCTTAGCTACTTTGATCATCGTTTATTCTATACTCAATCAAAGTGGGGGCTAACTGTAGACACCTACTTTTGGCCTCTTGTCCCGACAGGAAGTTCGATGATGTTACAAAAATCCGTTCTTCATGCACTACTACAAAAAAGGCTTTATAGAACGGTTAAAATAGGCTTTATAGAACGCCTCAGGATCGTTCTTCTGCTAAGCGATGTATAAAGTATATAGAACGGTTCATGGAGGCGTTCTATTAACTCAACTATAGAGAACGGTCATCACACACAACAGTTCTTTATTCCCTAACTAAAACCAGAAAATAAAGAAGGAATAAAGAACGGTCAAGTTAGATAACAGTTCCCTAATCCTCATTTTAAAAAAAAAAAAAAAAAAAACTAAAATATGGTATTATACAGAAATACCGTATTTTAATTTCTTGCTATAATAATTAGGAAACAAATTTAAAAACGAATTACAGTAGTATTAAATTTGAAATTTAAGGTAAATTTTTTTTTTTTTGAAACACAATAGCAGCCCATCTTATTAAAGAAGATCCATTTCCGCCAAAGTACTTAAGCTTTGAGGAAAGGAACCCAAACGTACATACTCAACATTGTTTCCGATGTCCCAACTCGCCACTAGGTGGGCTACCGTATTGAAATTACGCTTAACATGAGAAAACGCACATATGTCAAAGGGCAAACTATCATTCCTAATATCATCAAAGAGAATGTAGATAGGCGCCAAACCACCATCATCAAATTGCGCAGCTTGAACCATATTTATAGCATCCGATTCCACCCAAAGTCGAGAGTATCCTAAACTCCTAGCAAGTTGCAGGTCATATATGATGGCCAGAGCTTCAACATGTTATGGCACCTTTGTGTGAGCTTTTCGTGTAGCAGCAGCAAAGACAACACCTGTAACATCCCTAAACACCACCCCTAAGCTAGCCATACCCCCAGCAGGAATATGGGCATCTGTATTAACCTTGATGCAGCCCATGGGAGGGCATTTCCATCCATCAGACCTGAGAGCAGTAGTAACCCCAGCAGCAGCAGCTATAAAAACCTTCTGGGCGTAAGAGTTATAGTCCAAAACCATCCTGAGAAACCCAGCAACAACCATCACAAAGCTAGGATGCTCATTCTCAAAAATTGCTAAGTTTCGACACCTCCAACCAGCCCACATTAGAGTAGCAAATGTCCTTACAGCATCTCCTATAAAACTTACTGTTTAACCAAACCCAAAACTCAGAGAAAGAAGAGTTAGGAGCACCCACCAAGCTTTCCTTATAGTCACTAACCGCCCAAACCTTACTTACAGCGTTGCACTCCAACAGAGCATGAAAAATAGTCTCCCTTTCCACCCCACACACCTGACAGGAAGCATCGTGTGTGATATGTCTGTAAGCCAGTCTATCTTTTACAGGAAAGTTCCCTTTAACCGCACTCCAAAGAAAATGTTGTAGCTTGGGAGGGCCACGAACACTCCAAATAGAGCGCCACATTGCTGCATTTGTAGCTTGTTCCTGCTGATCCTCGCCCCCTAACTTGGCAAGCCAATAACCCGTAAAAATTGAATATACTAAAAATAAAAAAAAAATTACAATAAATATAGCATGAAGATAAAACATAACAAGAGGTACAAATTAAACAAAAATATTTACAATCAATCGTTCTTATTTCTTCTCTTCTCGGCATTCCCCCTTTCTTTGATCGTTGTAAATTTACAAAACAAACATAAGATATAAGTGAACATTTATTTAAATAAAAATAATTCCAACATAAAATAAAGTTCTACTACAAAATTCTATGTTCTGTAATTTAAAAGCAAAAGCACAGTTATATGAAAGACAATGTGGAAAAAATGCAAAAACCCAAGGGAGAAATCACTTAGAGAATGAATTACACATTCATACAGAATTAAAGAGCATGATACTAAAATTCGCAATAACATGACAAAAAGACAATACCAGAAATCATATCTAGTAAAATGAATTATGAAACACAACCATTGAAAAGGCAAAATTAGCTACCTTTGATTCACTTTGCCTCATTCATGCTCGTAGCAAGCTCAACACAGTAGGAATGCACACTCATTGCAACTTTACAAGCAACAAATGGTTCACTATGTCCATCAGATTTTATTTCATCTCCACAAATCTGACATAGTTCTCCACTCAATTAATTCTTTCACATATTTCAGCTATTTTTACACCAAAATTACATGGGACAAAATATTAACTCATAGTTCTAGATACCCACCAAAATCAAGTAAAAACCAAGTTAGATATAACATAATTCTCTTCGATTAATAATATCACCACTTTCGTTCTCAAAAAGAAAAAAATGATTTATCTAGCCAATATGCAGATTGCAGAATTCATAGAAACTAATGAACACAGCACACACATCAAAGTCACCACAAACATGAATATCATTTTAACCTCCAGTAGAAATTATTGTACATAACAACATATGGAATCAGCAAGTAAAAACATAAATACCCTTAGGTACAGCGTGATTTCTGTTCCACACTTCAGGATCTTTTCAGGGTCAGTTCTTCCCTGATTACATATGAGCTACTGTCAGCTGCTGCTTCCCAGATATACTGCTTGTCAGACCTTGGGGTCTTTGTAGACACAACAACCTGATGAGAGGAGCAAATTCTAGTTTAAAAATTTGTCTCGTTCATTAACTCCATAATCAAAGTAACAACAAAATAAAGTTTGCACGATCTCAGTACCCTGTCTGCAACCAGAAAGGCAGAATAAAATCCAACACCAAATTGTCCAATTAAACCATTGTCAGCACCAAGGTCTTGATTTTCCTGCACATAAACAGAAAACTTTAGGATATAAAGCTTATGAAAAGTACAGTAAATTATTAATTATTTCATGCACAGATTACTTTAATCAAAACATACAACTATATCACAAAAAAAGGTTTCGAGTAACTTCAATGCTTTTAAAAACTTGGAAGTGCCACTCTGTGCAATAGTACCCAAACAATCAACAAGCTCCTCTTTTGTCATTCCAATACCAGTATCAATTAACCTAACCTACAAAATTACCAATCGAAAATTATAATCAAGAACTTAAATTAACTGCAAATGCAGTCAAATTAGATTTAATTATATTTCGAATTCTAGCAACACCAATTACTCTATAATCAAATCAAGTTCGTGTATGGTTTAAGAAACTGCTAATATCATCATTACATCAACATTGATAAGGATCGGACGAACTCATTTCAATTATGACAACCAACAACTAGCCGTCCATTAATAGCCATTTTTGTTTGGCCTCAGAAAATTCGAGAAATAAATCAAACAAGGGCTCTAAATTTGACCTCGGTCAGATCAATTTTGTACGAAATAAATTAAATTTTTTGAAATTTTAAGTGTAATTTGATTGTAATTACTGCAATTTTGCATTCACAAAAGCCCATTGAATTATTTTCCTAAAATTAGAACTTTAATCCACCTAAAAACATAATAAAATTAATGTAACTTGATGAATGTTGTGATTGATTTATCATTAATTCATTATTACAATTCAATTCAATAAATACTTCAAATAGATCTACAATTTTCTAATCAAATTGGTACAGTAGAAGGAGAAGAAAATTCAAAAGCCTACCTCGATATTGCAGTGGTGGCGCGGTGACGTGCGCGTAGGTGTAGTCATGGTGGTGGGTGCGGAGGTGTAGTGTTGGCGAGGCGGTGCACTGTTGGGCGCGTCAACGCGGAGGTAGCAGGCTTGATGGATTTGAGAAGACGATAATTGCATTTCATTTTCGGAGTGAAAAAAAAATAAAATGAAAACTTGATTGGAAATCAAAGATGTAAAATTGATATTAGCGTATATGAAGAATTTCAGTGGTCGTTGATTAAATTTTAGGGTAAAGTTCTAATCCTTCTAAAAAAAATAATCATAAAATAATAGAAAAATAAATGAAATATACACAAAACAATTGTCAAGTGCACCATTGTATATTGTTTAACATAAGTTGATAATAATTTATTATTTTTGCTAAAAACTAATAAAGAACGGTCAGCTATAAGAGCCTTTCTATATTCATTAACTCATAGAACGCCTTTTCCACATATTGCAGAGAACGCCTATCTTTGTTAACGGTTCTATATTTTGCGATCTCTAATCTAGTTTTTGGTGTAGTGATGCTAGGTCAAAGTTGAAGTGTTTATGGACCATGAAATGCATTATGAAGTTAAATAAAACCCATATTTGAGACCAAGTTATCTTATAGCCTTGTTTGATTACTACTTAGGACAAAAACGTGCTCTTACATGTTTAAACTTGATTAATAACGGACCCAAATGCTGCAAATGCAATGATTCGATCCAATGGATCTTACATTGTACAAAATTGAGCCAAATAGATAAATCAACCGTCATATTTCCGAGCATGGACTACACATATGGATAGCCCTTTCAAAGAGCTTTCCAATGGTATATTATAAGCCCACTTTTTAGCTAAAACGAAGAAGTTATGATCAAAACACTAAATCGGCCCCTGAAACCGACACCGTTGCACTCCAACGGCCATACCTTTTGATCAATAACATATTTTAAGCTAATTCTAACAGCATTGGAAAGTAGAAATATAGAGATTTCCAATGATATCTCACACTCCTTAATCCAATTTTGTAATCAAAAGTTATGGAAGATTTAAAAACGCGTTTTCGTATAAGGCAAACCGCACCCATCGCAACTTAGTGAGTTGCGCGCGCCTTGCGCACACGACTCTTTGAGATGCACGCGGCACCCAGCGCAACTCGGAGAGTTGTGAGCACCATCTGAAGCAACAACTCTAAAACCCTAAACCTAGATTCCTACGCATAAATATAGGGGTCTTCACTTAGCCTAATGCCAGACCAGAAAAATCAGAATTTGAACCCTAATATTGTCAAAACCCTAATCTCTCAATTTCTCTTAATATCATACTACTTTTCTCCTCTCTTCCCAAATACTTTCCAACCCTTATTGAATCCATTAAAATCCTTGGAGGTACGAAGAAGAAAGAAAGTCAATAAAGGCATTAAACGAAGTTTTCAAATAAAAGAAGAACAGTTAGTTTCCTAAGCACTTAGATAAATCACTTTTCTTTTATTGTTTAAATAACTTTAATTGAATAAATAGTGTTGTTTGATCACTTTAAACAAACTTTTAATTAATTTAATTCACATAATATTATTGTGTTAATCAAAACTAGAATTTGAATAATTAATTGATTGTTTTATCACCTGAGTCAAGGCAAACATTGTTTATTTCTTGTTCTTTTCACGAATTTGAATAACAAAAGAATAACAAATTTTGCAGTGTAATTCCTACGTGATTAATACTTGTATATAAAATAAACTAACTTAATTTTTAGGAGCCACGTTGCATATATTTTTTGGTAATGAAATTGTGAAAAAGGAAGAGCTAGTAGAGGCCGTACTAGGGCTAGGATAGCGATTCCCCCCTAAAGGGAACATTATTTAGTACCCTCGCTTCCGAACTCATTTCTGGTACACGTAGACCAATTTGTGTTGGGGTTTGGTGAGTCCGACTCACCGCGGAAACAAACCCAAAAACAAGACCGCACTCGCAATAAATAAAACCATAAACATAATTAAATTAATCACAAGATTAAGATAAACTAATTACCTTTGACGCGTGCTTCGCTCCCAAATGAGCTCTTACTTGAAAGCTTCAAGTCCCGCTCACACGGAGACCTCCAACGAAGTCCACCCGCACCAATAAAACTCACTAGGTCCAATGTCTTGGGGTTAGCAAGACCCGACCAATAAAACCCGAGAAATTATATTGAGTTCAAAGGTTTTCACTAATTGTGATGCCTTTTTCAACTCTTACTCAAGCCACATTCCCAATTCCCACACTTGGGTATTTATAGGAAATGATGGGAGTATCATTTACTCTCCCATAAATGTGGGATAGTATGATTTTTCCATTTTATTTTAAAGCTAAAATAAAATTAATAATCAAGCTAGTAATAAATCAACAAGTGGCAAGCTCATGTGAGTGGTTAGGTGAGGACCACTTGGAGAAGGGGGGGGACCAAACTTGCTCCACACTCCCTCTCCCATAACCGGCCACCTCACTCCACACACACTGAAGGACCACTAGCCACATGGAACCCACCCTTGGGCACCAAGGCAGCCGAGCTAGTAGAGGCCGTACTAGGGCTAGGATAGCGATTCCCCCCTAAAGGGAACATTATTTAGTACCCTCGCTTCCGAACTCATTTCTAGTACACGTAGACCAATTTGTGTTGGGGTTTGGTGAGTCCGACTCACCGCGGAAACAAACCCAAAAACAAGACCGCACTCGCAATAAATAAAACCATAAACATAATTAAATTAATCACAAGATTAAGATAAACTAATTACCTTTAACGCGTGCTTCGCTCCCAAATGAGCTCTTACTTGAAAGCTTCAAGTCCCGCTCACACGGAGACCTCCAACGAAGTCCACCCGCACCAATAAAACTGACTAGGTCCAATGTCTTGGGGTTAGCAAGACCCGACCAATAAAACCCGAGAAATTATATTGAGTTCAAAGGTTTTCACTAATTGTGATGCCTTTTTCAACTCTTACTCAAGCCACATTCCCAATGCCCACACTTGGGTATTTATAGGAAATGATGGGAGTATCATTTACTCTCCCATCAATGTGGGATAGTATGATTTTTCCATTTTATTTTAAAGCTAAAATAAAATTAATAATCAAGCTTGTAATAAATCAACAAGTGGCAAGCTCATGTGAGTGGTTAGGTGAGGACCACTTGGAGAAGGGGGGGACCAAACTTGCTCCCCACTCCCTCTCCCATAACCGGCCACCTCACTCCACACACACTGAAGGACCACTAGCCACATGGAACCCACCCTTGGGCACCAAGGCAGCCGAGCTAGTAGAGGCCGTACTAGGGCTAGGATAGCGATTCCCTCCTAAAGGGAACATTATTTAGTACCCTCGCTTCCGAACTCATTTCTGGTACATGTAGACCAATTTGTGTTGGGGTTTGGTGAGTCCGACTCACCGCGGAAAAAAACCCAAAAACAAGACCGCACTCGCAATAAATAAAACCATAAACATAATTAAATTAATCACAAGATTAAGATAAACTAATTACCTTTGACGCGTGCTTCGCTCCCAAATGAGCTCTTACTTGAAAGCTTCAAGTCCCGCTCACACGGAGACCTCCAACGAAGTCCACCCGCACCAACAAAACTGACTAGGTCCAATGTCTTGGGGTTAGCAAGACCCGACCAATAAAACCCGAGTAATTATATTGAGTTCAAAGGTTTTCACTAATTGTGATGCTTTTTCAACTCTTACTCAAGCCACATTCCCAATGCCCACACTTGGGTATTTATAGGAAATGATGGGAGTATCATTTACTTTCCCATCAATGTGGGATAGTATGATTTTTCCATTTTATTTTAAAGCTAAAATAAAATTAATAATCAAGCTAGTAATAAATCAACAAGTGGCAAGCTCATGTGAGTGGTTAGGTGAGGACCACTTGGAGAAGGGGGGGACCAAACTTGCTCCCCACTCCCTCTCCCATAACCGGCCACCTCACTCCACACACACTGAAGGACCACTAGCCACATGGAACCCACCCTTGGGCACCAAGGCAGCCAAAGTGGGCTGCCATGTGCTGCTGTTCGTGGCAGCCACGCCAAGCAGGCCAAGCACTCGCATGCGGGCTGCCAAGCGCTGCTGGCCAGCAAGCCCAGCATGCTTGTGCAGGCTGCTGCTGGCCTTGTGCCTTGGCCAGCGCTGCTAGGCATCAAGCAATGGCCTAGCCATGCTGCTGCTAGCTGTGGCGAGCTGGCGCGCCAAGCGTGCGAGCTGCTGCAGCTTGTTGCGGCATGGCTTGCTAGCCATTGCGCGCACAAGGCTGTGCTTAGCATGCTAGCACGCACTAGGCAGCGCCTAGCCTTGCGATGCTAGCATGGGTGCGCTAGCACGCACCATCCAGCCTAGGCTCGGCTTGGTGCGCATGCTAGCCACCATGCTAGGCCATACGCCCTTAGCACTCGGTTTGCTTGGGCATTTCGATACTAGGGGTATTTTGGTCTTTTGTTGATTTATTACTATTTCTCATCTCGTCTTTCACTATTTTTCGACTCGACTTCTGACGCTCGGTTTCGACGCTCTAAGCTCGAATTTCCGACGTCTAAATAAATATTACTCGGTCGACTCATTAATTCCTTCCGAATTAATTCGTCGGTTCGGTTTGTTGAATGCTTGGGTGTGACCCGAAGGGTTCAGTCAAGATTAAGCTGTAATATTAATTATTCATTAATATTACTGATCGGAAGCGGCCTCCACCCAGGCATTCCGATCACTTGACCTCACTGAATATATTAGCTTTCTAATAATTCTGAACCCACTAACGGAATAGTACACTTGTTTGAAGGACACCATTCCTTTCAATCTCCCACTTGTCCTTCCGGACAAGTGCGCATTTTGTGTACAACCTTTTTCCTATGTCGCTTAATGTCTCTTCATGAACTATAAGGTAAGATTTGTTTTGTCATCCTTATTACGTCCAGAAGTGTTTCCCGATTCCGAGTCCGACTGTCAATAAACAAATGATTTCTAAAATCCATCCGAGCACGGCCATGCATTTTACAGTCTCGCTCTACGAGAGGCCTTTTATACAACAAAGACATCTTCCCTATTTTAGTAGAAGGGACATTCCCAGTCTTGTAATGTAGCTCCTCTTACTGAGAGGACCTAGTCGCCCGAGTGTTGCCGTTATAATCCCCTATTACGGCAGACGTTTGACAACATCAAAGCAAACTAGTACTCATGAGAACTCACAATTTCGATAGCCATAATGAGAAGTATACTTATGACAAATTTTTTTAATTTCTTAAAGTATTCTCAAAGGTCGATCCAGTATGGTTCTAAACCAATACCTG